AAAGGAGGTCATAATTCATATCAGCCTAGGATACAACATATAGACCTGCTCATCATACAAAGCCTAAAAGTTTTTGATCAGTCAAGTAAATACCTAATTGTAAAAGACAAGAACACACTAATAAAACAGTTTAAAAAGGATGCTGCAGATTTGAAATCCTAACGTACTGTAGATCTAAATCCCTAATTAGATGACATTTAGTTTGCTACAATACTGTGGTAGAATTTAAAAAAAAAATGTGTCTGAGAACACTTCTATCTCAACTGGCTGGGATGCCCATAGCAATCAAGCAGCTTCTACCTTGCATTTTTTTCACACAGCTTAGAAAATAAAAAATTAAAAGCGGGTTGGTTGCACTCCTGTAGAGACAGAATTGGGACAAATTTTGTCTCAGAAGCTTTTTTTTTTAAAATTAATTCAGCATCCTGCATTTACACTCCAGCATCAGCTGTGCATCATTGCTCAGATCTAGTCCTTGTATTCTTCATCAAGGGTTCATGTGAAAGAATAACAGTGCAGATGCTCAGTTGGGAAATAGTTGTCACCACATAAAGGAGAGTTCCTGAGCAAGGACCTTCATTGAAGGATCACCACATATCTTAATGAAACTGAAGATTACTTTTTAAGATTACCTTTATATATACTTTAAATATGGTCTTAAAGTTCTACAATTAAATTAACATTCCAGACAAAGCAATTGTTTTAGCTCCTTTTATATAATGTATTTAAAGCTATTTAAATAATGTATTTAAATAATGTATTTAAAGCTGAACTCCAGGTATAACTTTTTATGAATACTTACATTGGTCCAGCTTGGCCCAATGTAAGTATGCATATGTCATACCTAACCAACCTAGGTGGATCCTGTAAAGCAACATAGTACTCGGAGATACTACAGTGCTTTACAGCGATCTTTCAGGTTCTGGAAGGCCAGAGTCATATCTACAGAAAATGGTGTCAATAGTAAGCACTGAAATGGTGCCCTTTCCAAAATCTGAAACCCACATTTTAGCTAACTTTACAACAATGTCAACACAAAAAGTAATATTAACATCAGAGTCCCCGCTTACATCAGAGTTCTCAGAGCTCCCCCTTAATTTAGAGTCCTTGGAGTCCTCCCTCACATCTGACTCCTCAGAGTCTTCCTTTACATTAGAGTGCTCAGTGTTCCCCCTTACATCAGAGCATGAGAGTCCCCCTTTACATCAGAGTCCCCATTTGCATAAATGTCCCCCCCCTTGTGTCAGAGTCCCTAAGTACATCAGACTATGATGTAAACGGGGACACTGGGGACCCTGGTGTAAGGGGGGGGGCTCAGTGCCCACAGTTCCCCCTTACATCAGAGCCACCAGAATCCCCCCTTATATTGCAGTCCCCAGAGTTGCCCTTTACATTACAGTCCCCATAGTACCCCTTTACATAAGAATTTCCAGAGCTCCCCTTATATCAGCGTCCCACAGAGTCCCCCTTATATTGGAGTCCCCAGAGTTCCTCCTTATTGGAGAGTCAAAGGTTCCCCCTTATGAGTCCCTTGCTGTGGTTTACGATGGTAGTTGGATGGCTGACTTGAGAGGGGTGGCTAACTGGAGAAGGCAGGCAAGCACCTCACTGAAATAAAGTTAGTAACAGGGTTGCTTTAAGGTACCTTTATCAGGTGGGTATGAAAGTAGTTAATATTCTCCAATGCTTATTATTGTTGAGAATGGCCCAGATCTCAACATTGTGAATGCTTCTAAGACGAAGTTCTAAAAGCAAGCTATATAGCACATATAGTACCCCACGGCTATAATTTTACTATGGCCCAATGCCATATGTAGGTATAATTCCTCTTCAATCAGACCATGTAGTCCAAATGCTATTCATGGCATATTCATAAAAATAAAATAAGAAGTAAAAGTGTTATTTATGGAGGTCCAAAAAACACAAAAAAAACTATTAAAAAGCTAAATAATCCCTGACACAAACAGTAAATTAATTGCCGTGCCTTAAGGTACGAACAAAAAGACATCAATGACAGTTTAATTTAATTGTAATGACAAACGTATTTGTTGTTTGTTTTGGATAATGTGGGGATGAATCAGACCCTCTGCATAGCAATGTGCAAAGGGAGAATCCAACATTTTAACAGTTAGATCCTCTGCCAAGTTTTTATTGTGATATGTGTTCCTGCTGAGGAAATTCACTATTTTTCCACCATTGTCACCAAGACAAAACAACATACATTTTAGATCCATCATGAGAGCAGGAGGCGAGAAAAAAAATCTTCCAACTGGGCCAAATGTTCTGATGACAAAGGTCTAAGATGAGAATTTACAATATTACACAGAATGTACAGAAAATAAAATCTAAAGGCTTTAAATTAAACATTTAATGTAACAACTCACTGCGGTTATTCAAAATACAAACACCTGTTAAACAAGCATGAAGTCTGGTATGGAACGTTGTTAATTTTAAGGGACTTGTTAAAAAACAAAAACTATTAGGATAATTTTTTTTTTACCAAACTATCTAATAGTTAGTGCAACAAATCAGTCTCCTTGTACAAAATATGTCTAAAAGCAAAAAAGTATGAATTTAAAAAAATGCTGATGAAGTCAGACATTTTAAACAATTGTATTGCGCGTTTCCTTACTAGGTTCCTGCTCTGTTCCTGATCCCTGCCAAACACAAGGAGGTGGATCCGGTGGCCAAGGAGGATTTATGGCCCAGTCATATGGCAGCTCAGGCGGACAAGGTACATTTGGTTCACAAGGGCAGATCAGCCAAAACGTCTGGTGGATTTGGTTCACAGGGCCAGATCAGCCAAGTATCAGGGAAAACAAGGAAGGAAAGAGCTCTTGGGGATTTAATGGGAAATTCCAGGATGAAAGCATCTAAAAATGTTTTGTGTTTGAGACCCTTGGTACCCTCAACGAAGAACAGGATTCTAACATTGTTCTTCATTTCTTAGTTCTCAAGGTCAATTAGCATTTAGCACTCTACCATGAGAAGACAGTTCTAATAACTAATTAGATTTGATGAGCATCTTGCAGGCTTCTAATTCTAGTTTCAGTTTTAAAGAAGAACCCCATGCAAAATTATTATTAACCTTTGCAGTGGGGCTACCTTCACACTGCATGGGCTAACTGCTCATTTCTCTCTAGAGCTGAAAAGCTGAAAATAAAAAAATCATACTTACCTGATCCTCGGAGCTGGCAGCTCTCTCCTGCCAGCCCCTCTCCTACTCTGCTGCAGCGATGGAATATCCCTCAACGTCCTCACATCCAATACCCTTTTAGACATGATGACTCAAGGATCCTTAGACCACTGCAGCACAGGGGGATAGATGCTGGAAAGAGCTGTCTAACAAGCCGGCTCTGACGATTGGATGAGTATAACTTTGATTTTCTGCCCTAGACATAAATAAGCAGCTAACCCTTGCAGTGCGGGGGTAGCCTCACTGCAAGGGTTAATAATACCTTTGCCCAGAGTTCTACTTTAATTGGTTTTAGCAGGACACAAACAGCAAGAAATAATGTGATAAAGGTTTTAACTCTTCTTTAGCCATATAAACTGTGCAGAAAATAAAATCTAAAGGCTTTGAATTAAACATTTAATTTAATAACTCACTGCTGTTATTCAAGCAAACAAACACCGGCCAAATAAGCATACAGTCTGGTATCTTATGTTGTACATTTTAAGGGACTTATTCAAAGTAAAAATGCTGATAAGTAAAAAATGTAAAACAAATTATTGCATGTTTCCTTACTAGGTTCCTGCTCTGTTCCTGATCCCTGCCAAACACAAGGAGGTGGATCCGGTGGCCAAGGAGGATTTATGGCCCAGTCATATGGCAGCTCAGGCGGACAAGGTACATTTAATTCACAAGGGCAGATCAGCCAAAATGTCTGGTGGATTTGGTTCACAGGGCCAGATCAGCCAAGTATCAGGGAAAACAAGGAAGGAAAGAGCTCTTGGGGATTTAATGGGAAATTCCAGGATGAAAGCATCTAAAAATGTTTCGTGTTTGAGACCCTTGGTACCCTCAACGAAGTACAGGATTCTAACATTGTTCCTCGTTGAATAGTTCTCAAGGTCAATTAGCATTTAGCACTCTACCATGAGAAGACAGTTCTAATAACTCTAAAAGTGCCCATACACCTTACAATTATCTGCAGATTTTCTGTGGTCAGATGGAAAAAGTGCAACAGATTGGCCTAGGTTGAGATTACTCCATCCACACAGTTAAGTGTAGATGGAGGAATCTGTTGCACCTTTTCCATCTGACCAGAGAAAATCTGCAGATAATTGTAAGGTGTATGGCCAGCTTAATAAAATTCGATGAACATCTTGCAGGCTTCTAATTCTAGTTTCAGTTTCAAAGCAGAACCCCAGGCAAAATTATTATTAACCTTTGCAGTGGGGCTCCTTCCACACTGCATGGGCTAACTGCTCATTTCTCTCTAGGGCTGAAAATAAAATAATTATACTTACCTGATCCTCGGAGCTGGCAGCTCTCCCGCCAGCCCCTCTCCTACTCTGCTGCATTGATGGAATATCCCTCAACGTCCTCACATCCAATACTTTGTATTGGACATGATGACTCAAGGATCCTTAGACCACTGCAGCACAGGGGGATAGATGCTGGAAAGAGTAGTCTAATCCTTCCAGTTAATCCTTCCAGTGAGGGGGTAGCCTCACTGCAAGGGTTAATAATATTTTTACCCGGAGTTCTACTTTAAGTATTCTTAGTAGGACACAAACAACAAGAAATAATGTGATAAAGGTTTTAACTCTTCTTTACTCCATATAAAACTGTACAGAAAATAATATCTATAGGCTTTAAATTAAACATTTAGTTTAATAACTCACTACGGTTTTTCAAGCATACAAACACCAGCCAAATAAGCATACAGTCTGGTATCTTATGTACATTTTAAGGGACTTATTCAAAGTTAAAATGCTGATAAAGTAAAAAATTTAAAACAACTTAATTGCATGTTTCCTTACTAGGTTCCTGCTCTGTTCCTGATCCCTGCCAAACACAAGGAGGTGGATCCGGTGGCCAAGGAGGATTTATGGCCCAGTCATATGGCAGCTCAGGTGGACAAGGTGCATTGGCTTCACAAGGCCAGATCAGCCAAGTGTCTGGTGGAATTGGTTCACAAGGCATGACAAGCCAGGTATCAGGAGGATATTCAAGCCAAGGAGGAAATGGATATGGTGTCAAGAAATAAACCTCACTCAGAATCACTCGAGTAAAACAAATCTCTAGCAGTTTTCAAGCTATATGCAATCATGAAATCCTGTTTACCAATTAGAACCTACTTCTGTATTTATTAATTGTGCAAAACTTTAAATCTCGTCAAACTACGTTCTTTAATCAAATAAATCTGCTTTTGAATTCTCATTGCTTGGAGTATTAAAATTGGTTCAGTTCATTCATATCTTCAAATCATATCTTCAAATATAATTGCACATAATCACAGAACTACTAGAGCATAAAAGACCCAGCAAAATGAAATGGATTTTAATAGCCTCTGCTATTATCCTATATATGATTTGCAATTGTCAGTTTGGACCATTGTAAGTGTGTTTCCCTGAGCAAAATTAACTACAGATCATAATTTGTTGGTGACCATGCAGTGGAGTTAGCAAAACAGATAAAAGAAGCACAAAGGGCAGCCAGAGCAATGTGGGTATCTTTGTTGACTAGGTAGGGACAGGAAACTGGATAGCATCAAGCAGGGGACTTGAATGAAAGGAAACTTAAAAAGCTTCAGAAAAAAAGACCAAATAAATGTCCTTTTTTTTGTTTAATAGTAACTACAGGTCATAACTAACTTACCAACTAGGGTCTGAGGGCCATGTTAAACGTCAGCAAGTGTCATTAAGTTGAGATTTTGTTGGTATGGAATGATTTAAGGAAATCCAAGATGAACTTGATCAAGAGCATTATTTAAACCAATACACCACACCGACAGCAGACAAGTCATAGTTCAAATACATCTAGTGGACTTGATGCATTTGAACTAGTTAGTAGACTGGAGTTATAAGTCACAATCTTCTAAGCAAGTTGAAAAAGTCCATGCACTAAGTATAACACAAGCAGAGCCAGAACATTAAATGGCTAAGGGTTACTTGTGAGTTAAGTGTTTTAATCCAAAAATGTAACATCACACTAGGAGCAATTCTGGCAGGCAGGCAGGTGATGGGTTTCGTTGGTGTACAGCAATCTTTCAGTCATGCCACAGATTCTCAGTTGGATTGAGGTCTGAGATTTGACTGGGCCATTCCAAGACATTTAAATGTTTCCTGTTAAACTACTCGAGTGTTCCTTTAGCAGTATGTTTAGGGTAATTGTCCCGCTGGAAGGTGAATCTACATCCCAGTGTGAAATCCCAGGCAGACTGAAACAGGTTTCCCTGAAGAATTTCCCTGTATTTAATGCCATCCATCATTCCTTCAAATTTGACCTGTTTGCCAGTTCCTGCTGATGAAAAACATTCCCACAGAATGATGCTGCCGCCACCATGATTCACTGTGGGGGATGGTGTTCTCCGGTTGATTAGAGGTCTTGGGACATACCGTTTTCTTGAAGGCCTAAAAGATCAATTTTATTCTCATCTGACTAGATTACCTTCTTTCGTATGTTTGGGAAGTCTCCCACATGCCTTTTGGTGAGCAGCAAACGTGTTTGCTTATGTTTTTGTAAGCAATGGTTTTTTTCTGGTCACTCTTCCCTGAAGGCCAGCTCTGTGGAATGTAAGGCTTAAAGTGGTCCTATGGACAGATACTCCAATCTCCGCTGTGGAGCTTTGCAGCTCTCTCAGGGTTATCTTTGGTCTCTGTTGCTTCTCTGATTAATGGCCTCCTTGCCTGTTCTGTGAGTTTTGGTGGGTGGCCCTATCTAGGCATGTTTGTTGTGGTGACATATTCTTTCCATTCTTAATAATGTATTTAATAGTGCTCTGAGTGATGTTCAAAGTTTGATTATTTTTATAACCCAACCTTGATCTGTACTTCTCTACAACTTTGTCCCTAACCTGTTTGGCAAGCTGCTTGGTCTTCATGGTGCCTCTTGCTCAGTGATGCAGACTCTGGGGCCAAAATAGGAAAAATGCCAAGGGGGTAAATACTATAGCCACTGAATGTGATCAAATAGTGGAATTTTTACTAGGGATTCATCGAAAACCGATACTAGTATTGGTGCAGATACAGGGCATTTTCACAATTCAATCTCCGCTGTGGAGCTTTGCAGCTCTCTCAGGGCTATCTTTGGTCTCTTTGTTGCTTCTCTGATTAATGGCCTCCTTGCCTGTTCTGTGAGTTTTGGTGGGTGGCCCTATCTAGACAGGTTTGTTGTGGTGACATATTCTTTCCATTCTTTAATAATGTATTTAATAGTGCTCTGGGAGATGTTCAAAGTTTCTGATTTTTTTTAGGGTTTCAAAGTTTTTATTGGTTTTCCATAAGATATAGCATGTTTTAATACCAGTTTTTAACATTTGTATAAAAAAAACCAGAAAATGCAATATTTCTCAAATCAACATTATTTCCCCGCATCCCCCATCCCTTCCATAGGCCATCAAAGCTATCATCAAGGGAGAGAAAGGGGGAAAACCAGTTGTGTTATTAACATTCATCTTTGCCCCTGCCCTCATCCACCTCCAGGGGCTCACCCTTCCCTTCGGTCACTTCTAGCTTTGAGGGTGCTGGGCCTCTCAATATAGGTATAGCTGCTTTCGCTATATGAGAACTTATGGAAAAACATTTTACTGTACAAAAAAGAAAAAAAACGAACAAAGAAGAAAAAAATAATCATATTATATTATAAAAATTAAAGCATTAATTATTGTTTCCTTTGATTCCAAGCAGCAGAACAGGTATGCTTAAGCTAAAGCATCGGGAATGATGTTGTGTGCATTTGAGATCTCTTGGTATTTCAACCAAGGCTCCCATACTGCTTCAAATTCTGCATAGCTATCCTGTAAAATGCTATATAGTTTCTCGTGGATCATGATCCAATTCACTTTAGACAGCACCAGAGAGAATGGAACCTTTTCAGATTTCCAGGACCGAGCTATTGATGTCTTAGCCGCCAGGAAAAAAAAGATACAAGTTTGCTCTGTGTTCTAGAGATGTCTGGGATTGATTTGTTTAGTAATATATACTGTGGGTCTCTGGGGATATAGATCCCGAGAATCTTAGAAAGCAGGGCAAACAACTTGTTCCAAAAGGGTCGTAATCCTGGGCACTGCCACCAAACATGGAGCATAGTGCCTTGCTGTTTACAGCCCATGAAGCATACCGAACTGATGCCTGGGCCCATATTCGCTAATTTTGCTGGCACAAGATACCATCGAGAAAAAACCTTGTAGTTGGCTTCTAAGAGAGAAACATTTAATAGTCCCTTGGTTGATCTTATAGAACACTGTTGCCATTCTTCTAAGGAGAGTGGTGTCCCTATGTCTATCTCCCAGGCCACCATATAAGCTGTTTTTGTAAATGATCCTAGTTGGGCATCATAGATCAGGGACGTGCCTCCCCTTTAACCTAACCCTCCTAGGCACCACCGTTCATATTGTGTTGACAGCGGGGCTCCAACCTCGGGAATATGTAAAGTGAGTAGAAAATGATTAATTTGTCTAAATCTGAAATATTCGGAGTGAGGCATCTTGAGAGTGTTTATGCAATAAAGGTGTGTGAATGGTTTAGGGAGTTTAATAAAGTCCCCAATCCTATACAATCATTTATCTATCCACCATTTAAATGTTTTTGTCTGTAATCCTGGCATAAAATTTACATTTTCAAATAAGAGCGCGAGGCGAGTGTGAGAAGAGACCATCCCTTCCTTGTTTCGGATCTGATCCCATAAGGCTAAAGAATGTATTAAAGTTGGCACCAGGGTCTTTGGCCTCTGCTTGAATTTCATGGCTCAATAGAGGGTCCCTTGTGCGAGTCAACTTCCATCCTGACCCAGTCAGGAACAACTGACTTGAAGTAAATAGATAATAATTGTGAAATGTGTGCTGCCCTATAATAAAGAAGCAAATTTGGTACCCCTAAGCCCCCCTGGTTTCTGGGTTTGAAGAGGGTCTTTCGAGAAATTCTTGGTCCCCCCCCAAATAAATCGGGATTGGTAGTGTCCTAAATAGATACAGTATATTAGGGAATAAAGTAATTTTAATTGAATGGATTCGCCCTATCCAGGATATGTTACATGTAGTCCATCTAATCATATCATCCCTGAGAGATTTGTATAGTGGTGGAAAATTTACCATATATAATTTGGTGTACAGGGGGGTGAGTTTCACTCCCAGATATTGTAAAAAGTCTGTGCGCCAGTTAAATGGGAACAAATTTTTAAGGCCCGACCAGGTTTCAACAGAAAGATTAATATTTAATGCTACTGACTTGGTGGCATTGACTCGAAGTCCCGATATCTGTGCGTATTTTTCCAGAAGTGCCATAATGTTAGGTAATGACACCAATGGAGAGGTTACAAATAACAACATATCGTCTGCGAACAAGGCACATTTATGTTCCTCTAAAGAGCATTTTATCCCTTTAATATCTAAGCTATTGCAAAGTAATATTGCCAGAGGTTCGATTGCTATGGCGAATAATAATGGCGAAAGTGGGCATCCCTGCCTAGTGCCCCTTCGAATTTGGATAGGGCCTGATAGATAGCCTTGAAGGCGAATCTGAGCTGATGGGGAGGAGTAGAGGACGCTTACTAAGTTAAGAAATTTGGGCCCAAATCCCCAGGATTTAAGAAGTTGTAACAGGTATTCCCAGGAAACCGAGTCAAATGCTTTTTCCAAGTCTATAGATAACAGCATCCCTTGTTGGGGAGGGGTATCATCCCAAGGGTGGTTAAGCAGTGCAATTAGGTCTAGGGCTCTTCTAACCTGGTCTGGGCCTTGTCTTCCCCCAATAAAGCCTACTTGATCTCGATGAATGTAATTGCCTAAAAAGCTATTTAATCTATTAGCGTAAATTTTAGATAGGAATTTTATATCGTTATTTATCAATGAGATTGGTCTGTAGTTAGAGACTTCCCCTGAGTCTTTGTGTGGCTTAGGGATGATACTTATATAGGCTCTATTCAGATCCAGGTCCAGAGGGGCGCCTGAATGTAAGGAGTTAAAGAAGGCTTCCATGAAAGGTGCCAAGATCTCTATAAATTTTTTATAATAGTTAATAGGTAGTCCATCTGGACCTGGAGCCGAATTAGATTTCGCCATATTGATTGCTAATCTAATTTCTGGGGGAGAAATCGGGGCTTCCAAAATTAATCTGTGTTCAGGCGATAAAACTGGGGCCACAAGATCTCTAAAAAAACCTTGATTTTTGCTCTTCTGATATCCCTGTTTGTACCTCATATAATGAAGTATAGCATGAATGGAACTCCTCAAGTACCTTTATTGGGTTTTGAGTGTAATCGCCTGACCTGCATCTAATTTTAGGAATTAGGAGATTACGCGGTTTTGGTGTTAATTTAGAGGCCAGAAGCGAGCCCATTCAGTCTCTATGTGTATAGAGCTTATTCGCTGACCAGCGGAGGCTTTTTTCTGCTCTTGTGGTCATGAGCAAATTGAGTTCTGTTCTAACCTGCTCTATTTTTCGAAGCAGCGCGAGAGAAAGAGTTTGCTTATGTAATTCAGTGAGTGTTTTTAACTTACTCTCTAGTTCTGTTATATGTTTTGTGGTATGTTTCTTGGTTCTAGTGGTCTGTTCGATGAATATGCCTCGGATGGTCGCTTTATGAGCTGCCCACTCCATGCCTGGGGACACATTCGGAGCAACATTCATCGAAAAATAGTTGGTTAAATGTGCTTTGATCTCATTACATAGCGGTGCTGAGCTCAATAGTAAATCGTTTAATCTCCATTGGAACGGTGTATTGAAACCTTGTAGGTGGGAGATGCACATTGTGACCATAGAATGATCTGACCAAACTATATCCTTAATATGAGAAGAGTTTACTAGCGGAATGAGGTTAGACCTAACAAATATCTGGTCAATTCTTGCATAGGTCCCGTGGGCATGTGAAAAATATGTGTAATCTTTGATTTTGGGGTTTTGTTCTCTCCAGATTTCTATTAGATAATGGGACCGTAATATTCTAGTGAGGAGGAGCCCGGCCTTTACCACAGGTTTGGTTTTAGATTGTTTTTTGCATGTCCTGTCAATGGTGGAGTCCAATGCTATGTTGGAGTCTCCAGCACAGATAATTATACCTTCAAAATATGGTGAGAGAGCTCTAAACATAGAGATAAAGAAGGGTATCTGGGATGTATTCGGTGCATAGTATGATATAAAGGTGAATAGCTGTTTATCGATGCATCCTTTTAACAGTATATATCGTCCTTCTTTATCTCTGATTTCCAGCGAAGCGATAAAAGCCACTTTTTCAGAAAAGCATATAGCCACCCCCTTGCTTCTCTCCTTCGCACTTGCCAAATAAAACCTCGGAAAGTGCTTATGGAGGGAGGATGGGGGGCTAGATGCTGAAAAGTGGGTCTCCTGCAGGAGTAGCACGTCGCTATGATGAGAGTGGTAGTTTTGGAAAGCCTTCCTTCTCTTCACCAAGATATTCAGGCCCTGGGTATTATGGGAGGCTAGTGTTAGAGATTTAGTACCTACATTTGGCGTATTTAAAAGTGCAATTACTTGTATTTTGGCTAAACACTCTCCCCCCGCCTTTCAGTTGATAAACCAAGAGGGAAAATTTTTGGGACCATTTGGAAACTGCTACAAATACGGCCATAGGGAATTTAGGGAAATAATAAAATAAGAAAAGAAAAGAAAAGAAACAAAAACAAGGAAAAACATAACACAGAAAACAAACAAACAATCAATCAGGAGAGAATCTCCCTCCTCCATATCAACTTACTCAAACAATCTAAGTTGAATGAGAGTTTGGTCTAGGCCCGGGGTTGTCCCTTTGGACCTAGAGCAAACAAGGGCGCATGGCCTACTACGGCAGGCAGCGTCTTCCCTCCACTATTTTAGTTATAAAAGAGTAGCAAAAGCATATTTCATAACATTTAAGATTTGCAAATTAAGGCTCAATTTTCAGCGGTTTCTCCAGAGACTTGTAAATTAGATAGTGTCCTTCTTGATGGTTTTTTCAATAGTGGGGAAATAGGAGGTTTTCCCTGTTCTTGGGGTGGGATGTGGGCCAATGGCTCTTTTTCAGTGAGATTAATCCCTAATTGTGACAGCAGTTTTTTACCTTCACATAAGGTCTTAATGGAGTAGGATTGGTCTTTATAGAAAAACAATAGACGAAATGGGAAGGCCCACCTGTATTTAACACCCCGGTTGATCAGGGCTGCTAAAAGTGGTTTCAGGGAGCGCCTTTTTTGAATAGTCGCAGGAGAGATATCCGCATATAGTTGTACTCGGTGACCCATCAAGAGCAGCTCTGATGCCGCTCTAGCTTCCTGCATTATTGACTCTTTAATCCGAAAAAAATGCGGTTTAACAGTAATGTCTCTAGAGGAGCGTTCAAAACGCATAGATGTTGTCACTCTATGGACTCTATCCAATTCCAATTCTGTATTTGTTAAACCTGGTATTAGGTCTTTAATAAAGGATTGAACCGCAGGCACTAAATCTACAATAGATTCCAGAACTCCTCTGATCCGGAAATTGTAGCGTCTTGATCTGTTTTCCAGATCCTCAATTTTAGATAGTGCCTCTTCTAATTGGCTCTGTAGTTCTTGAATACAGGAGGCATTATTGTTAGTGCAAGCAATCGTTGAATCAAGTTTGTTCTCAATTGATTCTATACGAGTTCCCAGATCTCTTAGATCACCCCTGATATCTGTAGTGATTTTCTTTGCCATAGAGGAGAAACCTCGTTCAAGCATATTTGAGAATCTTATAAATATGTCAGGGTCTTGTGGAAAATCTTGCAAAGAATTTACACTGTCCTGCATATCACTTTCATGTAACTCAGTACTCGAGGGGTGAAATAAAGGAAATCTCATACTTGCCACTGTATGATCTAGCAGGGATAAGGTGGATGGCGGTGAGCTAGAGGCTAGGGATCCATGATCCGTATATTCTCCTTCTGTTTGAGCTGTAGGTGAATGGCTTTGATCTGTGTCTCTTGCTTCCCCTTCGAGTGTTGGTTCAGCATTGGCGTTTGTGTGTTCAATCTTTTGCTTAGTGTTGTCCTCCTTCCCTACTGCCGTTGGTTGTACTGTCTTTTTGGGACGATTTTTCGCCCCTTTCTGCTTGCCTCCTGCCATCGAGGCTATCTTGTCAGCCTGCCTCTGTTATGCCCCTTCCGCCTCTGTCTCCTT